ATATATTTATCAATCCATCCACTAAAAACAAACATAACTCAAAACATCAATTAACAAAATGCATCCAAATAATGACAGAATAAAACTTAAATAGAAAATAATAAATAAAAAAAATACTGGATAGCTATATACGTATCAAAAACACGGATTAAAAATGACTGTATTAACCCTATGTATAATAATTTTTGTATTTCTTAAAGTCTTAAATATCTGTCAACTACTGTCGAGTTGCGTTATAAGTTAATTACTTAATGAAAATCACATTCATCTATTCTAGTTTTAGGTATGGAATTTTTAACTTAAAATCGGTATTTGTTTATAATAATTAAATTCAATTATATTAAAATTTTACAAAATCGTCTATAATTAATTCACACAAAATTCTAGTCATTCTTTATTAAATTTTTTCAAAAAAAAAACTCTAACAAGAGAACCCAAATAGTAAATTCTTAACTTATTTAAGCCCATGAAAAAAAGGTCAACAATATGATTTTGGCCTCTCAATTACTTCAATTTATAAATGGTTTCAGGCAGAGTAGAGCTCAGTTAAAAAAGTTATTGTAACCACAAATTTAACGAAATAATATGAAGGCACTTGCTTGAAACATCAAAAGGGACAGAAATAAAAGTCCATTTATTGCATTAGAAATATTGAAGAAATTGGAAAAATTGGCCAAAGTATTTTCCAATTATTTTTAAGCTCTTCCTACCGAAATTGTTTGCCCGGCCTGCCATAGCCAAAGGCCAAGTAATAATAGAAAAACTTATGGATGCATGAGAAGAAATAAATAAGGAAGAGAAAGTGATACAAAAGAGTGAAACTCCCAAAATTTCATTTACGTACAAATTACGGATTATTTAGCTATAAAAAGGTCAAGACTGTGCAATTTACATTTCTAAGTAGCAGAGTAATCATTTGTTTTACTCCTCACTGCAATGTATTTATCTTTGAGCACCGCTGCCAGGGACTTTACGGTTTGAGAGTGCGAAAATGTAGCATTTTAAATAGGTTTGCATATTGAAGAAGTATTTATCAATTTGTTGCCATTTTTTACAATTTTACGATATTTCAACTGACCCTTTTTTTCGTTATTTTATTTCGAAAAAATTTTTAATTCTTCTTTTCTCTCTGCTACTATATTTTAAGGTTGATGTAACAGATCAGAAGAAACGTCGACGCCTTCGATTGCGTATCGGGAAACAAGCGGGTGAACAAGGTGCAACTGGCCCAGCTTTAGGTTTGGTCGAGGGTAATTCTACTAATACCGTTAATACAGTGGAGGACACCGAGTTCAGCAGTAGCAACGTCGATAGCAAGAGTCGTGCTGGCAATGAAGCTACAACCACTTTTACGAATTCCGATGAAGTAAGTTGCCATGTGTATTTTTAGGTGATATGATTTTCTGCACTATTTATATTCAATTTTCCGTAATTGGGATAATACTAAAGCAATTTATTATGTTTGATTTTGGCTTACTTTTGCTGCTCCTCAGCATTTTTTTATCCGATAACATATATAGATTTTCATGCAATATTTATGACAAGAAATTTACTAATCTGAACTGAATTTTTTATGAATTTCATTTTTTTTTTGTTCAAACAGTTTAAATCTGAAGATAAATCAATGAGCAACAATTGCTATAGTTTATAAATTTAAAATTTCATAAAAAAAAAGTTTTAATTCTACAAAATTATTTTATTTTTCTCGTACTTTTTCAGTTGAATAAAAAATAATTATTTTTTAATGACGTTTATAATTGGAATTGTGTGTTCTAGGTTTATTATTCATTTTTTTTTTTGAATATTAAACAACAATTTCTTAATTAATGAAAAGTAAAAAAGACTAAAAATAAAAATCCTCAACATCTGCATTTAAAATAATTAAAATATGAAAATTAACAACAGTTAAAATGCCATCATCAAGCACCATGCGGTATTGGAAAGAATATAATAATTAAAATAGTTAAGTCTCGCATTGAAAATTTTACACTGGTTATGAATTGCCATAATGAATTGATTTTAATCTAATGACAAGATAAGATAAAAAAGCCAGACTGCTGGCTAACAGTAATATTATTGAGAAAAGTTAACAGAGAGCTTCAAAAAAAAGAAAATGATTTGAAAAAAAAACCAACTTTGCAGCACAAAAACAACGAAAAACTAAAATAAATTCTTTTGAAATTTCTATAAGATATTTTCGTAGAAACATTTCAATTGATAAAAGGTGCTAGCTAACATCACTAAAAAAGTGAAAAAATTAAATTAAAACAATTTAAAATTAAAACAAAAATTTAAATTCAAAAAAAGGATGATTTCGCTAAAAAAATATTATTGAGTGCTTACTTGCAGCACTAAAAAATATAAAAATTCTGAGTAAAGAGATCATAATATAAGTATATGAAAAAGGAGAAGAGAAAATAATTAGTGAGTAGTCTCACACTCTGGCTGCGAATGCTTTCCACCTAAAAAAAACCAAAAAAAGAATAAAGTATAGTATTAAAAGTATAATAGAATATTGTTTCACAAAAAAAATGGATATGAAAGAGATGTATGTTATGTATAAGCATTTTGAGTATTAAAATAGCCATCTGACATCACAGAAACATGTGATATAAAAAAAAGAATAATTCATTTAAAAGTGCTGAAATGCTTGCTGATTGTAAAAATATCTTCGAAATATAAATTGCATTAATATAAAATATTAAAAAATGCTAGCAGAAAGAACAGTGAACTACAACAACAAAAATTCCTTTTATATTATTTTAATTAATTGACCTTACAGCTGTGTCGAAAAACCCATCATCAGTGGTCTTGGAAATAATACTTGTATTTCATTATTCGTAAATAATTTTTTGTGACTGCTGGTACCAGAAATCGAACTCGTGCTCTGCCAAATGTGAAGCTCAGAGCCAGCGCTCCTTATCCAGCTGACCCAAAGTCGTTCTTGACTTTTACGTTTGCACATTTTATATAATTTAATTAAAAAATTTTAAAATGCGAGTTTACTGCTCAAATTTAAAAATAAAAAAAAGATCTAATGTCTACAAACTGTTTTAAAAAATTTTGCCTAATAGCACCAAAATCACGAAAAATCAGAAATCAATACTTTTGTGAATAGAAATCAATGTGCTGGTAAACAGCACAAAAAATGCCAAAAAAGGAAAAATATCATGAAGTTTCTATTGGGAATGACTAGATATTCAAGTTTATAAAGTGTCAAAGAACGAGAAGAAAATTAAAGAATAATTTCACAAAAAATAACAGATCCATAATATGTATTTTTATTTAAAATCATATTATATTATTATTTGTGGAAAATTATGACACTTTAATTATAACACATGAAATATTAAATAATGCGTGGTATCCGTACAAATTGTTTACAATATCAGATACTCTTTTTATATCTGTATAATTGATTTAAGAGAGAAATTATTCTTTCGTTAATGTAATATTTTCCAGAATAAAAACTATGAATTAATTATGAAGTTCAATCAACATATCATGAAATACAAAAAGTATGCACATGTCATGAAAATATTATAAATAATGAATCTGATCTACTAATTATACATATAGTATCCAATATCCTTAATTTGCACATTCTCGTGAACCCCAACAAGTCAACGTAATGCAATACGTAATTCATGGACTCATGGAAAACTTTTACAAAACTGAAAATTTAATTCAATTACTGTTTCCATTTGCCCATATTGGATGGAGTGCGAGTACAACAAATTCGATGCCCGAGCAGTTACATTACCTACAATCTTAATTGACCAGAAATGCATACGTAAACTTTGGAGCAACAAACACACACACACGATGATGTCCTCACGTAAGGACATCATTACAAATCCATACATAATATATCATTTACATGCGATACGTACGCGTACGCGTACGCGTATTCGTTTACATTTGCGGCGTGTGAAAACTTTTATTCAGTTGAGTTTACATTAAAGAAATGAAAGGAGCAAAAGGAGCAAAAGGAGCAAAAGGAGGATAAGGATATATGTATAGGGTGGGCTCTTACCAAATTCAACCGTAAATGCAAAGGACTTCGTATTCAACGTTAAATGAGAAATTCAATTTGACATTTAACGCGTGTAGTGTCAAACGCGTGTTAAACGTATTTTCTCACTTTTTCGCGCGAATTTAACTAAGTTATTTGGAAATTTAAAGGCGATAAATTGTGCGGCTGAATTTTAAGTGTCACCCAGCTAAGCGCGCACGTTGAATTTTAAATATTACACGAATTCGTACCTGAAAATGTAATAAATTTAAATACATAAATGTTATATGCACTAAAAAGATAAATTGTGTAGACTTTCACAGGCTTATATCAATTTACAGGCGATGACAAATTCGTATGTGCAAATTCATACGAATTATGGAATAACAAAATGTCTACTCATGGGGATATAATTGAGATATTTCCTTATATATAATAAACAAAATTTATTTATGAGATCAAATATTTAACATTATATAACATTTTTATTTAAATTAAAATGATATTATTTTAATTGGCAATGTACACCTCTTCAATTACTTATATATAAAATAATGGCGTACAGAACCCTTTTTTCCTCAATAATTTCTATTATAAAATTATCATATATGTAAAAGACATTTAAAGCCGAGAATTAACCTACTACATTTAACGGAGAAAAGTACACACGATATATACCAACGTTATCCAGAAAAGATTGCAAAACTATGTTAAGTGTGCTATGATAGATAGACCACGTGGTAAATTAGACCACAAACTATTAACGTCAAACCCATGTCGTAAGTCATTAACAATAATGACAAGCGCAGGACATCCAGCTGCCTGTGCTTCAAGTTGTCATTAACTCTCTGATAGTCACTACAACTATAACTCTTACAATTCGAAAATGCCGGGCATCCCTTAATTAGCTAGGTAGACGTGTCAGTGGGTTCCTGGACAAAGAGACATGGGGCAGACGAGATTGCCAAGACAGGCCGTCTGAAACTGGGTCTAACTTATAATAGAGCCGAGATGATGGCTCTTCATATGAGGAGAAAACTGTGCTCCACCTCATGTGTCAGTATCCATCTTTAGCTAGGAGAAGATCTATGGCTTCTCCGAGGCTTCTTTTATTGTCGACCTAACAGAGTTCTGATTCTGCAAAATTATGGACTTAGCCAAGTTTATAGAATTTTCAGGTTTGTTCATTTTTACATACGCTGACCCTTAGCGTACGATAGAGGCCATTAACAGGCCATTATTTGGCTTAAATGGGCTCTGGTTATAAGGCCGACATTCTAACCTAACCTAACCAGTGGTGGTGGCTGTGGTTAATACCCAAACTTACGCGGGAAGAATGATTGTATTTTGCTTTCATTTGGCAAAAAGTTGTGTGTTCACATCGAGTGCTCTGACCCAAAAATCGGCAGAAGTTGGAGGAAGCCTCGCTCCTTACCAAAGAGGAAGTTGTCTTCAAATAACTTTAAATTCCATAGAATTTCCAATGTGGTATTTATGGGCCTATTATATTGATAAAACACACTTAGAGCATAGTGATCTTAAGCCTTCACAGGCAAGTTCCCACGTTAAACAACACTGAATGAACTAACCTAACCTTGAATGTGCAGAGCGCTAAGAATAGAGTAGGCTTTTAAATGTTTCTTAGGTTTACGTTTAAGGAGTTCACAATTAAGGAATATAATAGACCTATCAGGAGATAGAAGCACTCCTTAGATGCATACTATATATAATGCCTCTATATAGCGACTAACCAGCTTAACTTAACTAAACTTATATATATGAAATAAAAATATCTCTGTATCTTTTACCATATATTGTATGCCATTAAAGTTAATATATCTCAAGTCAAATATAGAATTCTATCAATATTTTTACATCAATTAATTCACTCACTTTAAAAAGCTACAATATTAAATTTCAATTCAATCAATATTAAATCCTGTCGTTCTATCGTAATTGCTCCTTTAACAATTCATTACCGAAATGTCAGCACCTGTTAACCGAAAATTGCGGTCTGGACTAAACACACAACGGCATTTATAAACCAAACATAAATAAATAAAAATGTACGAAAATTTATTTACAAAAGGACAAATCCAAAGTAAATTACTTATTTCAAATTATTTTTTGTATATTTTACTTTTGTCTGTGTTTTGTATCTTTGTTTAAGGTAACTTTAACCCTCGTTCCGATACTGATTTTTATATTCTATTTGTGCACGATTCCGTTTGTTTATCGAAAGATGTTATTATACATTTATCTATTTTTATCTTATAGATTCTTCTATTCTTCTATTCTTCGATTCTTTCTCTTATATTTATTTTCATTTTGATTTTTATATTTATTTTTAT